AAGAGCAAATTCAATCCAAAGTAAGTGGAAGGAAACAATAAAGGTAAAATTAGAAATCAATAAAATAGAAAATGAACAAACAAAAGCAATGAAACCAGAAGCTTTAATATTTAAGGAAAAAGCAATGCCAATCTTCCAGAAAGTAAAAAAAAAAAAAAAATAGTGGATGAAGGAGCAGTTTACAGCTCATATCATGAATTCAGCATCACTGTGATACCAAAGTCAGGCAAAGAAATAATAAGAAAACTTATCCAGTATCCTTTGTGAACATAGACCCAAAGATCTTTAACAAAATATTAGCAAATTAAATTCATTGATATATGAAAAGGAGAATATGTTGTGATCAAGTGGGGTTTGTCCCAGGAACGCAGTGCAGGTTAAAATTAGAAAACCAATTGATATGTATAACTCACTAAGTAGTAGAATAAAACAGAAAAATCATATCTTAAGTGTAGAAAAAAAAATTGAAACTCATCTAGCAAGCTAGGAATAAAAAGGAATTTGCTTAATTTGATTAACAAGGCATCTGTCAAAAACAATTTACATCATATTTAATGATGAGAAACTGAATGCTTCTGAGATTGAGAAAAAACAAGGATTTTTGCATTCACCGTTAGGCAACATTCTAGTAGAGGTCCAAGCCAGTGGAGTAATGCAAGAAGAAGAAAAGACATACAGGTTGAAAAATACTAAGTGAAACTGTCTTTGTTTGCAAACAACATTATTGCATATGTAGAAAATCCTAAAGAAGCTGTGGAAAAGCTCCTAGAACTAATAAGTGAGTTTAGCAAAGTCACAAGATACAAGGTCAATATAATTTTTTTAAACTACCAAGGAACCAGTGCAGGTTAACAAAAGCAATTCCATTTGCAGTAGCATGCAAAACAATGAAATACTTTAGGGATACATTTTAACAAAGTAAATGCAGACCTCTTCACTGAAAACTAAAACATTACTAAGAGGAATAAAAGAAGATCTAAGTAAATGGAGAGCTATAGCGTGTTTATTGGTTTGTGGAATAGAGAACTCATTGTCGGATGTCAGTCTTCTCCAAATCAATTTATAGGGTTAATGCAATCCCAATAAAAATCCTAGCAAACTTTTTTTTAAGAAACTGACAAGCAGGTTCTCATGTTATGTGGAAATGCAAAGGACCTAGAATTGGCAAAACAATTTTGAAGAAAACCGAAGCTGTAGGACTTGTAGTGCCTGATTTCAAGGCTTTTTATACAGCTAGAATAATCAAGACACAGTGGTATTGGTATAAGGATAGACATGTAGATCAATGGAAGAGAATAAAGTTCAGAAATAGACCCATGTATATATTCAGCTGATTTTTGATAGAGGTGCCAGTGTAATTCAGTGGGAAAAGGATATAGTCTTTCCAAGGAGCGGTGCTATATATGTGGGTGGTGGAAAATTTATATTGATCCTTACCTTATACAGACAGTTAACCCTAAGTGAGTCAGAGACCTTAACAAAAAGGTTAAGACTATTTTACGAAACATCTAGAAGAAAACGTGGGTGAAAATAGGGGCGCCTGGGTGGCTTAGTTGGTTGGACATCTGCTTTTGGCTCAGGTAATGATTCCAGAGTCCTGGGATGGAGCCCCACAGAGCCCCACATTGGGCTCCCTGCTCAGTGGGGAGCCTGCTTCTGCTCCTCCCCCCTTCTTAATGTGCCCTCACACTCACTCTGTCTCTCTGTCTTAAATAAATAAATAAAATCTTAAAAATTTAAATACATACTCCAATGAAGTTGATTTTAAAAATAAAACCACACAACAAAAAACTGTCGTTTCCTACTTGCTGCACATGAGCCTAGAGTAGTAGGTCTTACTCTGGGAAGAAATTGGATGGAATGTATGTTTGTTGGTAGACTGTATTTGGGCAGTTCAGTTTCTGTGAGAAATATTATTTAATAAGGAAGAGCAAAAGTAACTGCTTTTTAAAGGTAGCTGAAAGGGACCCTTTGTGGTAAGATACAGGACATAAAATTTACCATTTTAACCATTTTTTAAGTGTATAGTACAGTGGCACTAAAGACATTAACATTGTTGTACAACCACCACCGCCATCCATCTCCAAAACTTTTTCATCTTCCCAAACTGAAACTGTATACCCATTAAGTAGTAATTCCTTATCTTCTCATACCCCAGCTCATGGCAGCCACCATTCTACTTTCTGTGTCTATGGTTTTGACTACTCTAGGTACCTTATGTAAGTAGAATTACATAATATTTGTCTTTTCGAGATTGACTTATTTCATTTAGCATGATGTCTTCATGGTTCACTCATGTTATAGCATACATATGTCAGAATTTCTTTCCTTATATTTTTATTTATTTTTTAAAAAGATTGTTTTAGAGAGACAGTGAGCAAGCACGTGTATGCATGTGAGCTGGAGGAGGGGCAGACACAACCGACTGAGAGAGACCCAGGCACCCCAGAATTTACTTCCTGAATAATATTCCATTGAATATATGTCCCACATTTTATTTATCCATCTCTTGATGGAAATTTGGATTGCTTTATGTTTTAGCTATTGTGAATAATATTACTATGAACATAAGTATACAAATATCCATTCAAGTCCTTGCTTTTGATTCTTTTGGGTATATATGTAGAAGTGGAACTGATGGATCATATGGCAAATTCTGTGTTAATTTTTGGATGAACTGCCACTTACTTTCCATCGTGGCTGTACCGTTTTACATTCCAGTAGTGATGTACAGGGGCTCCAGTTTGTCCACATCCTTGCCAACACTTTCTGGTAATAGACCTCCTAATGGGTGTGAAATGGTATCTTGTGGTTTTGATTTGTGAAGGGAAATTTTGAGGTTATTTAATTTAAACCTGTGATTTCACAGATGAAATTCAGACAGTAGGTTAGCAAGTGCTACTTAAGGTGGAAGATTTTACAATTTCTTTTGTGAATCATTTCAGCTGTTTGTATTTGCATTTGGGCATTTAGGGTTTTGTGAGTACATCCTGAATAGTTAGGCTTATGAACAATAATTTTCTTTGTTGTTGATAGATTTGTGACAAGCCACAGCCAATCATATTTTGTGTGGAAGAACAGATACTTTTTTATAGTTTTATTAAAATGTTTAATAATAAGTCAGTCTGATGTATGGACAGTGAGCAGTTTCCCCAGATTAATATACAAATATACACCCATGAAAACAACACTAAACACTGGAATTTGTCATTTCTGTGAACAGTGGATTTTAAACTATTATCTGATGAGTGTTGGTTTTTTCTTCCTGCTTTATTTTTCAACTTGTGCAACAAGTGAGTATAAAACTTTTTTCCTCCTTTGTTTATTTTGAAACTTGCTAGCTGAACCTACTCATAAAATCACTTTTTATTTTTAGTGCTTAATTTCTGTACCATGTACATTTTACATGGTTCTTGGCAAGTTTACATCAGGTCTGGTAGACTAATTAGCTGAAACTACAGTGACTACTTTGAAAAGATATCATGGGAGAATCCTCCAGTAATGGCTGGGTGATGAAATGAGTGCTAAGTTCAGGTACTTGCATAGACCAGGATCTGGGAAGGCCTGGTATCATACCCTGTACTCTTTAACATTGTTGGCACAGTTTGTTCAAATGCTTTTCTTCCCATTTTAACAAGTGTTTATTGAGTACTTGCTATGTGTCTGACATTGTGCCTGGCACAGTGGATATAGAAATGAGTTTCTGCTGTTAAGGAACTCAGCCCAGAAAGGATATAGACCTACAAATAAGTTTATAAATGTTAAGTGCAGTCAACAGTCTAAATGTATAAAATGTATGGAGATCTTAATGGAGGGATAGAATGATGAATTCTTAAGGACAGTGGGAGGATCAGAGGTAGGATACCTTTAGATAAGATCTGAGCTAAATTTTGAAGGTGGAATGTGAGGTTGTTAGTGATAGGGTGGATATTATAGGCAGTGAGATCAGCATGTAGGGCAGGCAAAGCTGTGTGAGAAAGGACGTGGTATGCTTAAAGAACTCTAAGCAGATAATTCATATTGGACACAAGTTTGAGGATTGATGGATGAGTGCTGTATTTCCCCTCATTGTCAAATACTGCCTGAAAAGGAGCCTGGGAAGCTGAGATGCATATCTCCCTTCCTTCTTTTCTTTTCTTATTCTCTCCTTCATTCCTTGAGAGAGAGAGAGAGAGAGAGAGAGAATGAATGTGTGTGTGTGTGTAAACAAATTGAGGGAGAAGGGAAGCAAGACCTTGATTCTGGTCCTGGTTCTTATACCCTTGGTTGAACAAACCACTTCTCTTTTTGAGCTTTGGTTTCTTCATCTGTATAACAATGTGTAAACGGTATGATCTGTACTTTCCAAATATTTTTTAAAGGAGTCACAGTTTTTGAGTGCCTGGAACACAGTAGGTACTAAATATGTATTTTCAAATGAGTGGTCTGAGAACTTGTGTCTAAGAGATGATAAATAGTTAAAAAGTTGTGACAGAATAAGCAATAAAAGATTTATTTACAGACCATTGCTTCCCAGGATGCATTTATTATATAATATGTGTTCAAGCAGTTTGTCTTTATAAATTGTTTCACTTACCATTTAGATTTGTGAGGTCCCAGAGTATAGAAACTATAGTATCTTTATACATAAAACTCTATTAACCTTGAATGTCCTGTGCTGTTGTAGTTATCATATATGTCCAATTAAAAATCAGTATATATTTTAAAAGTGTGTTCAGTTGGTCACTGCACTTTACTTTGGCTGTGGCAGAAGTTCTTGGACCTCACTACTTCAGATTGTGATTTTTTTTTTCTTTTTTAATCTAGTTGTAAATGGACTTTTTTTCCTCATATAAACTACTTTTCTCAGTGCAAAGCCTAGTGTATTTTCTCATGCTACTTTTCCACTGTTGTGTCTGCAGAACATTTGCTACTGGAGCAGAGGATTATAAAAATCCATTCTTAATGGTGTAGAGTTGCTGTAATATACTGTTAATATAATTTCTTTTTTTTATCTTTAGGGGTCCTACTGGGCAATAGACACCAATCCGAAGGAAGATGCACTGCCTACTCGGCCAAAGAAGAGAGCACGATCTGTAGAACGGGTAAAAAGCTCTTTATCGCAAATTTAGTATGATAGAATTTATGTCAGCAATATAGATTTTTAAAGTTCATTTCTAATATAAGTACAACCTTAATGAAGGTAGTATTTTATTTGTTTAGCATTTCTGTTTCTTCAGAGCACTTTCAGACTCATTTTATTTGATCTTAATAACTCCTTGAGTGAGGTAAGTAGTTTAGGAATTAATTAAAAAGTTTGTTTTATAATTAGGGCACAGCTCCTGTCTAACTGAGACTTGAATCCAGATCTCTTAAATTTTAATTTGGTATTCTTTCCTGTGTATCTACAACATTGAGGACAGGTTTTATGTAACAAAGCTATCCCTTTCACTGCAGATAATCAGTCTAATTACATTGAATTTTCCTGATTGTCTTCACAATACTTTTTCCTGCTTCCAGCCATGTAGTAATTTTTATACCAAGTCCTATGTGTAAGTGTTGCTTGTAAGATCATTCTTGTGAATTTATGGTTAAAATTAATTTATAAGAATGAAAGAGAAAAGGAGCTCTAGTTGATATCCTCAGTTATTTTTTGGAATAGACTTGGTCAACACTTTGGCGGTCATCAGACATTAATTTTACCTTTCAGCTTTCCCCATTCTGTATTTTCATCATCTCAACTAAAACACATATACATACCATTCTACCCTGCTCTTCTTTAAGACTCATTTCAAACCTTAACTACATTGTGAAACTTTTCCTCACATCTTTATTTTTGTTCTTGTAGAACTTTTACAAAGTTCTTTTATAGAATTTCTCACACTTTGTAGAAATTATTTGTCTCTATATTTGTCTCCTTCGCTGGACTGTGATCCCTTAAGAGCTGAGAAAATATATTTGTATCTCCAGTGTTAGTATTTTTCACAGCTTATAGTAAGTATCAGTAAATGTTTGCAGAATAAATTAGGGCAAGGGGAATAAGATAAAAGAAACTGGGTAATCATTTGGTCAAATAAATTTGTCTTCTGCCTGTTCTTGGTAGTGAGATAAAACTTCCCGATCTCAAAGATAAGGACCTTAAGCTGGGTTTAAGTTGGGGTCAGGTAAGCTCATGAAGTATAGCAACAGTGGGATTTAGTGAGGCAGATTTATGGAGCCAGCAGAAGGAATTCAATATTCCAGTTATCAAGCTATAGAATTAGAGGTGAACTTTTAGGCCAGAACACCTTTTGGTTTTATACATACCAATGTTTAAGAAATTAAAGTTTAGGGGCGCCTGGGTGGCTCACTCGGTTAAGCATCTGCCTTCAGCTCAGGTCATGATCCCAGGGTCCTAGGATCGAGGCCCATGTCGGGCTCCCTGCTCATTGGAGAGCCTGCTTCTCCTTCTCCCTCTGCTGCTCCCCTGCTTGTGTGTTCTCTCTCTGTCAAATAAATAAACAAAATCTTAAAAAAGAAATTAAAGTTTAGTATTGGTGGGATGGTTTTCTGGTAAGTTTTAAGACTGAGATGTTGATGAGCTATGTGTGTAATGTATGTATGTAAACCATATGTAATGGTTTGAGAGGGAATGAACCTCAGTTCCTGCCCTCCAACTTCTGCCTTTTAAAGGAGACATAGCACTTGGGCTTTAATTGTGTGAAGATAACGGAGTACAAAACATTTAGCTTCTGTTGCCAGAATTTGAAGGAAGGGGAGAGCTATCCACATTGTTAACCCAGAGCATCAACAAGGATGTATATCTTGGAAGGCTGAGGAATTGTGGCCTTCTCTCCCATTTGTTCTCTTCTTCTGAAGTTCCTGGAACTTGAATTATTTTTGGAAATTTGAATTGGTAGTTGGGTCGACAACTGTGCATTTCTTTTGGATATCAGCCCTGAATTTTATGGTTACCTTGTTTCATAGTTCTTAGAGCGATCACTCTATTTTTGAGAGTCCTTTTTTTCCTGAAGACCATATTGTCCGTTTTACAGTGGAAGTTTATAGAAGTAAAGGATTCAAATTACAGAAGTATGTTTTACATACAAAGCATGTGTTCTTCAGTGTATATTTTGGACACATATTTTCTATATTTTCTACTGTTTATCTTTTTAACTTCATTTTAAGTTAAAAAGCATGTAAAAGCTTCAACAACTTACCTTTGTAGTATAGTTCCATAAAAGAGCCAGTCTTTTGTTTAATACTATTGATAATTATTTTCACCTGAGCTGTGTATTGGTTGCTCTAAAAGATAGTCTTCATACAAAGCATAATTTCTTGCTCTGACAAACTAGTTATGTCTATTTTTTCATTTAGCGGTGTTTTTGGGAGTTGAGGGGAGGTAGTAGTATTTTTATTAGAACAGTTTGTATTTTAAATGACCATTGGGTTTTATCTAAGGAAAAGCATAAGATAGTCAAATAGTGATGGTTCTGAATATGATATTTATATGTTAAAGTTTTCTCAAAAACTAAACATGGCCCATAAATTGAAACTTTTAAAAAGATTTTATTATTTATTTATTTATTTATTTGAGAGCGTGAGAGAGAGCGCGAGTGAGCAAGGGGGGAGGGACAGAGGGAGAGGCAGAGACAGAATCTTTAGCAGATTCCCTGCCCAGCGCGAGCCTCACAGGGCTCGATCTCACGACTCTTGAGATCATGACCTGAATCACCCAGGCACCCCTATTTTTATTTTTTAAACTAATTTTTACACACCCAGCGTGGTGCTCAAACTCACAACCCTGAGATTGAGTCACATGCTCTACTGACTGAGCCAGCCAGGCGCCCCTAAACTTTTAAAAGTTTTTAAAATGTAGATGGTAAATATGTTGACATTCTTGAAAGTTTATTAAATTTCTGAAATTTGTAATTTTTCCCCATGTGTAAACATGAGAATTCTATGTGAAAAATCAAAATATTTTACACATTTTTGAAGAGAGATGAGCTTTGAGAGGAACAGAATTGGCTTTCTAAACTGCTAAAGAGAATGGATTTTTAAAAATGAAAGTAACCATATCTTTATGTCCTAAATAAAAAATAAAGCGTGATAGTTAACGAAAAATAAAGCGAGATAGTTATCTCCAACTTAATATTTGTAATTTCTCTGGATCACCTCCTTGGCCCTTCCATTTACATGAACATAAGCCCATGTTGTGTCTTGATCATTACAGCATTCCTTTCTTTTCTTAATTCTTGCATATATAAACGTCTCTCATTTCCCTTTTTCTTACTTCTTTCATCTTCTTACCACTTTTTCTTTATCATAAAATGGACCTGCAGACTTAAAAATATTATTAAATCAAGTTTAGCATGGTGAAATGAATACGCTCCTTTACTAGGAGTCCTTTGTTTCTCTTCTGGCTTTACAGGTTACTTGTTCTTGTGACTTTGGCAAATTGTTTTTTGTTTTGAGTTTCAGTATCCTTAATTTTAAAGTGAGAGGATAGAAGTCTTTTTTTTTTAAAGATTTTATTTATTTATTTGAGACAGAGAGAATGAGAGAGAGAGAGCACATGAGAGGGGGGAGGGTCAGAGGGAGAAGCAGGCTCCCTGCCGAGCAGGGAGCCTGATGCGGGACTCGATCCAGGGACTCCATCCAGGGACTCCAGGATCATGACCTGAGCCGAAAGCAGTCACTTAACCAACTGAGCCACCCAGGCGCCCCGAGAGGATAGAAGTCTTAACAGCTGCTTTGAACTGAATGTTTGTGTCCCCCCCAAAATCCATATGTTTGAAACCCTAATTTCAGTGTGACAGTATTTGGAGGTGTGGGCCCTTTGGGAGGTAATTAGGTCAAAAGAATGTAGTCCTCATGAATGGGATTAGTGCCCTTAGAAGAATAGGCCACAGAGCTAGCTAACTCTCTTTGCACCATGTGAGAAACCAGTGAGGATACCTTTAACAGGCTTCTCACCAGAACCTGACCATGTTGGCACCATGATCTTGGAGTTCCTGCCTCTAGAACTGTGAGAAATACATTTCAGTTGTTGATAAGCCACCTAGTTTATGGTAATTTTTTATAGTAATCTGTGCTAAGACAAAATTATAATAATAATAGATAATTATATTGAGTTTATGTGCCAGATGCTTTTTATTTTTATTTTTTTTAAAGATTTTATTTCTTTATTTGAGAGCGAGCACACACATGAGCAGGTAGAGGGAGAGGGACAAGCATACTCCCTGCTGAGCACAGAGCCCAACATGGGGCTTGATCCCAGGTCTTGATCCCGGGACCCTGAGATCATGACCTGAGCCAGAGTGAGACACTTAACTGACTGAACGACCCAAGCACCCCCAGATGGTTTTTAAAGAATTTATGTATATTAACTCATGTAATTTTTATAGTAACTTCAAATAATGAAGCTGATAGGTATGGATGTTAAGTAAGTTGTCAAAGGGTAGTAAGGACAATAAGTACCAGGTAGCATTATGAACCTAGGTAGTCTGCCTTTAGAGTTTATATTGTTTACAACTGTCCTTTCCTACCATTAGTATTTGCTATGTTGAAAATCACAACACTGCATCAGATTTCTTTGTATATATACATATCTTGTCAGCTAATGGTCCATGATTTTAGAAGAGAACCCCCACATTGAACATATGTATATATAAAGTTGATATATGTACACACACAGAGACAAACACACATACATGATTATAAATGACAGAACAAGTACTAACTGATAAGTCTATTAGACCAGGCAAGGATAACTAAAGTGACTCAGAATAGATAATGCTGCCCTCAGAAAGCCTCTGGGAAGAGGAGTGAAACTTGGCATGTAAATTTTTTGGATAGAAATGGTAAAGGATGTTGTTCCACTTGGAGAAAACGGTGTGCAGGGTTGACGGGGCAAGAAGTACGGGTGGGCATAATTGAGAACCTTTTTAACTATAGTGAAGAGTTTAGGCTAGGGTGTGGACATTTAGATAAGGAGTAGAAAGCCTAAAGCCTTGGGATCAAGGAAGTTAACTTTGATTTGATAGCCTGTAGTGTTGAGAAAGGAATCAAAACAGTTAAGAAAGATACTTCTCTTTATAAAATACTCCTTGCAAGAGGAAGATGC